ACAGCCAACAACAACGCATAAAACCATCCCTTATTTCTCACATGAACTCTTCTTTAGATACGGTTTGTTTACGCTTGAGGGACACCAAGATGGCGGTTAGTAACCGTTGCTAAGCTATTGGTCACGTGGGTGAAACCCAAAAATTTTAAGCGACATCTTGAGCCGAGACATCACAGTTGCACTTCTCCTGACTTCCAACCAACTGTTCTTTAATAATTAACATTCGATATGCAGGTATAAATGTTAAAAGACTCAGTAAAACTTCAATCAGTACATACAAGATTAACAATGGAGAGATGAACATAACTGGTTTGAGTGACCGTAAAAAGGGGGTAAAATTGTAGATTATACAGGTTGGGTTTTCAAAATGTAGTCGTTGACCGGATTAACGGGATTTTCTTGTAAGAAAATGTAAGGGAATTTCGCCGGGACAAGAAAAAGTGGCAGTAATAACGAGGTGACCGTAAGGCGGGGTTCCACTGTATTGTGATAAGCCCAGGGCAAAACAGCATTTTTTTTAGCCAAAATTCTTACAATTATTCCAATAATTCAGTTTGTTCTATCGCATTCTTAGAATTTCGATTGCATTTGGAGTTTTTAATGCCCCTTTTACTATTTCACCCGTTGAAGACTGTATTTTAAGCAGTCGAAAGCTTGTTTTTATAATATTTTGAGCCAGAAAACGTTTTTAAATTTGCTTGAATAAAGCTGCTAATTTTAAGTGATTAACTGTCATTGCCGATATTGAGCATATTAATATTATACAATAAAAAATGGTTTAAAATTTACAACTCCACTATCTTGTGGCATACGTTGATGCTGAGTTTACTGATACAATGATGGAGCTTAAAATGAAATATATAACAAATAAAACGAAAACTTCCCCAATATCTTATCTTCACTTAGTGTTTTTTCCTGTCCTTTTCTTCCCTCTCTGTCTCTCTCCCTACCTCCCTTCCTCGCCTCCCCCCCCCNTGGGTTGCTAAAGAAGTGAAATTTCACTTCCGGTTAATTGCGTCAACTTCCAAGGAAAAGCCACTCTCTTATGAGCACGAGAAATTTAAACAATTCAATAGCTTGAAATTAGGTCACATTTTAGTTGTTTTTTATCTGTTTCACAAAAAACAAAGTAAAAAGGTAAAAGCAGAAAGAAAGTAAAAGAACAAAAAATCGGCCACAGAACGGAAAAAGAAAAACTATTTTCGTATGGGAAAAATACAATGACAAAATCTATATAATCTAAAATTATACAGAGTAGCATATAAGCGAGGCTGTAAATCACTTTAATGTCATAGGGCGTTTTCCATTTAACCAAAAATTCACGTTGTTCAGTCCTTCAGTCAGGCTGTTCCATCCGCATTGCGCCTGACATCAGGGAGTTTCTCTTTTAGTGACTTCTTTAAAAGTTTCAAAAAAAGCTTCATTAAAGCAAGGAATCTCCAGTCCTCCTCATAGGGACAGGAGCCCATCACTGCTAAGACCCATTTTTTCGTTTCAGTTACTTTTTAAAATCGCATTGTAAATCAATTTAAAGAATTACTTGAAACGTTCTATCACGTATAATACGGTTTTGGATTCAATAAAAAGTTCAGTAGGAGTTCAACAGCAAGGTAAAAAATGAACATTACTTTCGGGAAGCCGTTATTTTCGTGTGGTTAATTTTGGAATTGTACGGTACTTCAAAACCGTATCGCACATTCACCTATCAACTTTACTGTCACCAAACTAAACTGTTTACATTAAGTTAGTTCAATCTGTTAAAGGAGCTCAGTCACGGTATTTTGAGTTATTTTGGCTAGGTAAAAAAAATAACATTTAAATTGAACGAAAACCTGAAAATAGTAGTTTACTGAGAGAGCAAAACACCAAAGAGATAGCAATAAACCATAAAGAAACAAAGATGGCTAAGGATGGAGAAGATTGACACGGATTACAAACGACGAAATTGAAAAATTAGCGTCAAGCTTTTCAGGATGCACAAACCGTGAAGTAGCTCCTTTAAGAGATACATTAAACAAGTAGCTGCACTTCAGAAGCTCTCAGAAGAGTGCTAATTAAGTCTTGTCCACTTTCATTCCAGACTCTCTCTTTTGAAAAGCATTCAGGGCTCTCTGCGCAGCAGTGGACTTTGCAATTCGGTAATTTCTTCCAGTGGCAACGAATTTTCCACAACCTGACACCGTCAAAGTACATTTGAATTTCCCATTCACCATTCTCTCCACCGGCCTGTAGAGTGAAATAAAAAGAAATAGTCAATAGCATCCAGCTTAACATCACATAGTTGCTACAATTTTACTAACAATGAGCAGGAAACGATTCAACCGCGAGCAAAACGTAGAGAGTAGGCTGTGCAAACTGTGGTTTTCGCAGTACAGCTTTCCAGTTTCCAGTTTACCATTAATGCGTATGAAAGGAAACCGGTTGGTTTGTGCAAGTAGTTTCGACAAATGGTATGCAAACATCCCTAACGACAATCCGTGTTCGTTGCGTTGTAACTGGCAGAAGGCCTGTAGCTGATGAATAAATTACAGGCATTTAAATTTCGGATAGGAATTTTAGACTACATTCTTAGGCGCTTTGTTTATTTTGGAAATATTCCGGTCTGGCGATCCAAAATAGTCTTACAACTTACACCCTAACCGATATTAACGGATTTCGTTGGTAAATGGTGATCAACATTTTACCCCTTGGTAGCACACTTTATCCCCTCGGCCATAAGTATAAATAGGTACGGCAAAGGGACAAAATACTGGGTCGCTAGTAGCCG